GGTTCAATGTAATCAGCATCACAACCCTAACCCTTAGAATGACTTCAGAAGTTTGTTTGTTTGGACAATTAACAGCAAGCTTTGAGCATCACAAAGAGTACAGGTTGCTTTACTACAGTCCTAAACATTCACTAGTCAAATTATGCAAGCAATACATCTGGTCTGGTATGAAACAAGGAGTAATCACAATTAGTGAGGCTATTTTGCTGAGAACACAGCTGCAATGGGTAGGGCATGTTTTAAGGAGGAGAGACTAGCCGTTTTACAATGAATATTGCCACCAGCTGTTGCACGGGAGGGGTTTTGAAGACAATATAAAAGGACTCTTTAAAACAACACTTCAGCTCTGGTCACACTGATCAACATAACTGGTCTGCTCTGGCCTCCAGCCAGGAGGCCTGAAGACACACTGTCCACAACACTGCAGATGTTTTTGAGAAGGCACGCAGGATAGCCTTGACAGTCTGCAAGGGTCTCCCTGCAATGAGCTGAACAAGCAAGGCAGCAACATTGACAACTCCTGATTTAAATCCTGGAAAACACAGAAAAGCTCAAAACGACCCTCACTACTGCCATAGCAGACGCAAATGCAATTATTTGATGGTCTAAGGACCCCACCCTGGCACAAGCCTGCATTATCTCTAGCTAGTTGTGTAACTAGCAGCTGCTGTAACTGTCACAAAACCTGTTTCTCTACAGCGTCTTGCAGCTTTTCCACGAATTGTAAGAATGGTTCCCGGGCACCTGGATGCATAGTGGTGCACCTTGCTCCGGGCTCTGCTAACCTTGCAGTCTGCACTAATGTTTGCTGGCTTATGGTTTTTACTCGCTCCAAATCTAGTGGTCCCCTGCACAGCCCGCACAGCTAAGGAACGATAGCAGTGGAAAAACTCCACCTGAAACTTAACTTGCATAAATTTCATACAAGGCTGTAATAGAATACCAAATTTTTGTAAGAATCTCTTATTTAACTTCAGTCTTAACGCTTTGTTAAAATCTCAACACCGACGGAAAGTATTTTTAAGTTTACACAGTTACACATTCATGTAGCTTTTCTCTTTCACACAATCTTTTTCCATACACTCTTAGGTGGACACCTCAGTCATCCATCATTCACACACACATTTTCAAGTAGTCATTGGTCGTGCACTTCTTATCAGTTTCATAATTCAAAGGAAATTTATGGCATAGCTGCCAACAGCAATCTGCAAATCCTGCATAAAGGCAATAAAACTACTTCTGCAGGGGGCAGAACTATATCCCCTTTTGTCTCATCGTTCCGTCTGCAAACCTTCTGCCCGCACTCTGCCCCCGGGGGAAACAGCCAAATTTCATGTAAGAGAAGCAAAATGGCAAACTATAGGAAATTCCTAACAACTTTCTGCAATATACAAAAAGCTAAGCACGGATGTGTGTTATTTCTAATCTTACTCCAAGGGAGTTTTTGTCAGTCTCTCTTTCTTTTTTTGAAGAAAACTTTTGAGAATGCCATGAGCATGCTGCATGTGTAACACCTATTGCTGTAAAAACAGTGCAATCTTATTTGATTTATAAGTTGGGGTATTGTTAATTTTAAGTTGTTTTTTCCTTTTTCCCTTTTTACCGTGTTTTACCGTCTTTCTTCCCCCATGCCCCTTATTGCCAAAGGACGAAGGAGGAGGGGCCGGGCTCACCCAGAGAAAATCAGCAGAAGGAACTTAACTTAATCACAGGGTCTGCTTAAGAAAAGACAAAAACATAGGAGAGGGAGAAAACAGCTGCAAACAGGCACGTTTCAGAGAGGCGGTGACTGGTGTAGCGAGGAAAAAGGAGAAACAGCTTCCCCCCTCCCCCGACTGCACCCCCCGAAGCCTTCGCTACCGTCATTAACTCGCCACTCTAAGAAGAGGAGCGGCACTAGGGAGAAAACATTCGCTGTAAAGAAAGGGAGAGGAACCTACACCTCTTGGGACCATGGCTGTCAGCAGTGCGGGAGAAACAGAGCCCCCCCGCCACCCGCCGCACCCGGGGCTGCCGGCGTGCACGCGCGCGGGCGCACTGCTCCGAGCTGGGGCCGCGCACGGCGCCGCGACCACCGCCACTGCCCCGCGATCACCGCCACTGCCCCGCCGCCCGGTACCACCCCGGGGGCACTCAGCACAGCAGCACAAGCACCCAGCGTCGTGAACACAGCCACAAATGCGCAGTGCAGTCCCACAGCACAGTTCAGATGAAAAGCTGGAAATGTCTTAAGGTGGAACTCAGTCATAGTGTTCGTAAAGTTCATCCCCGGTCCATCAGCAGTACTTTCACGCCACAGTCGTCGTCCCCGATCGTCCTGGACATGCACTGCCGAGACGCTAGCACCGCGTTCATTTTGCCGGGGCCGCCCGGTTGTCCCCGGTCCCGCTCCGTGATCTCTTGTCCCACTCCGGCTCCCCTCGGCTCCGCTCGACTCCCTTTTTGCACGATTTCTCCGTATGATGGCATCTAGTAGCATTCTAATGTCCTCAAACCGTGCTTTAATGTCTTTTACTGTTCCAGATAACAATTGCCAAGTTGTAAGGAGGGAAGCAGCAACTTTTTCTCCCTTAGAGTCAGCAGTAAAGAGCTTATCACTAAGTTCTTTCTGAGTAGAGTAGTAAAGGCAGTTACAGCGTTCGCTTCAAATCCCTGGCTCTTACACGAAAGCAGCGTCTGTCGCAAAGCCAGTTCGTCTAATTTTTCTCTTTTTTAAGCAGGATAGACTTGTTCTCGGTGGCTCACCTGTCCAGGTGTCTTGTCTGGACGGCCTGGCAGCTTCTCCACTGCTCTCGTGCTACACCGAGCTCCGTCCCCACGGCAACCTCCCATAACTTATCCCTATAACGTCTCCATTCCCCTTCATCAAAAACTGTATTAGGGTCCACAAAACAACCTTTAGCAACCCCCGCCACAAGCAATCCTGGTAATTCTTTTTTCAAGTCTATACCCTTAACTCCCCGCTTTTCTAAAAAGCACTGGAGTAATGAAAGTGCTGCTTGTCTTTCCATACCTATAAATCTTCAGCGCGCTGTTGCAGCCCTTTGAAGACGTCGGCGGCGTTGTCGGCCAGGACTCTCCTATGAGGTCGCCCGAGGCACCGAATCCAGCTCTTTTGCCTCTTGTACTGCTGCAAGACCAACCAGCTACTGCGTCGGACCGTGGCTTCGGGGAGTGCAGATTTAACTTAGCCTCTGTTCAGGTCTCGGGGACCGCAGATTCAACTTAGTCCCTGGGACCGTAGATATAACTTAGCCCCCGTGCAAGCTTCGGGGACCACGGGAACCGTGCACAACTCAGCAGGATCCTTCTTTATCGTCCCTTGCTTCGGGCACCATTATGTCGCGACGAGGGAAGAGAGGGGCGCTCAATATGAGAATCAGCAAACTTCGTTTATTGATCACTGCTAACAGCTTAATATATGCTTTATAATTAGCTCATACATATTGCAAAGCTAAGCTCATTGCAAAGCTAAGCTCATTATTGGTTCTTGCTTAAATGTTGATTTCACTTTTACTCTCTTCTTTTGTTGACACAGGTGGCTCTCAGTTGCTTTGGTTTTGCTAATCACAACGTCCTGTTTACCAGCCAACTAGCACATACAAGGGCACTGTATACTCTAACAGCTCATCCATAACTTTAGCTATATCCATATGCCCTTGTCCTGCTAGTTAATCCTGCTAACTAATCCCCTCCCAGGGCATCACAAGATGATGATCATCAGCTCTTCCAAGTCAAAGGATACTTCTTTTCCCCCAGGGCAGAAGAGATGGAAACATGCTACCGGTGCAAGAGAGGGACAGCGGAGGCTCATCCTCTGCCATGGGGGCAGTGACCCAGACTCCCTGTTTGTCTTCTAGTCCCTCTGGGAGCCCTGAGGTTTCCCTCTGGTCCCTTCTGGCTCCCTGTGCTTGGAAAGCCTTCCAAATCCATTCTGGTGAGGGGAGGTGGTGATGCAGCAACAGCAGACACCTCATGGGATGCCTGGGCACCCCTGGGGAGGCAGAGCTGGGGTCACTCCTTCTGTGCCCTATCCTGGCTGGGTGCTGGGGAGACTGCCCTGAGGAGAGACAAATGAGGCTTCTCCTGGGGAAAGTCTCAGCCAGAGCTCAACTTCCCAAACAAGCCTGGGACTGGGTGTGTGCCGAGGGGGAAGTTGTCCTGCAGGCAACAGGACAGGACGAGCAGGACGCAGTCTGCTCAGGACGTGGCACATCTGAAGGACACCATGGGTTTGGGCCCATTGTTGCTGCTTTATTAAATCACAGCCGCCTACAACTGGCTCAGTGGTGACAGAAGAGCAGCGCTCGTAGTTTGAATTGTGGTTCTTGCTGAAGATTTGAAGGCCTCAGGATTCCAGTTTTCCCGCCTGTATGAAGGACAGAGGGTTTTTCTGTGATAAGATCTATGCCTGGAAAGCTCCCCAGGCAGCCACCAGGCCCCAACATGGCATCAAGGCAGTTGGCAGCAGTCCCCCCAACACCTGCCTCCCAGCCCACGCCAAGCCACCGCCTTACCCACAGCCCCAGAGCCCTGGATGACACCATGGCTGTCCCTGACGCCACCCTGCTCACCAGCTCAGAAGACCTTAAAGGTCTTCTCATTCCACCCCCTGCCATGGGCAGGGACACCTTCCACTAGACCAGGTTGATCCATCCTGTCCTTGAACACTTGCAGGGATCCAGGGGCAGCCACAACTTCTCTGGGAATTCCATGCCTGCCCCTCCCCACCCTCCCAGGGAAGGATTTCTTCCCAGTCTCCCATCTAACCCTGCCCTCTTTCAGTTGAAAAACCATTGCCCCTTGTCCTGTCCCTCCAGGTCCATATCAAAAGTCTCTCTCCCTCATTTTTATAACCCACTTTCCTGGTGGGGTGTCTTCAGCTCCTCCCAGGACCTGTGTGTGTCTGTATCTATCTTGTATCTATTTATAGACAGTATATATTTTAATACATTTCTATCCATATGTTTATACCTAGATATTTACACACTGTAAATATTAATGCACACCTATCTACACAATGATGTTAACTTTGTGTCAAGACCTACACCTTCCCCTCTGTAACCTTTTTGGAGGGTTTATTCCTTGGGATTTCCAGGGTCTCAGTATCAGTGGAGCGGATCTTTCCCACCTGGATCTTTGCTGCATCAACTTCAAGGTGGCCAATCTGAGCCGCTGCAACCTGGCCCGTGCCAACCTGTGCTGTGCCAGCCTGGAGAGGGCTGACCTGTCAGGCTCTGTGCTGGATGGAAGAGCTGCTGCAGCTTGGGAGGGCTGGGCTTGTGTTAACAGAGAGGAGCTGGAACAAACAGAGGGGTGTAAAACATCGAGTTCTTAAATATATTCTAGAGTTGTTCTGGTTCCCAAAGCTTTTACACTTCCTCCCAGTAATGATTTAATGGGATTGACTCCCAAAGCAGAAATTAAAACTGTCTCCTTGATTGTCTTTGGTGTTGTTCTTCCAGCTCTCAGTGACTCCTGTCTGTGCCAGGGTGCCAACCTGCCAGGGGTGAAGATGCTGCGCTCCAACGCAGAGGGAGCGTCCCTGAAAGGCTGCAGCTCTGAGGACCCATCAGGCCTTCAAGCTAATCTGGAAGGTGAGAAGCTTTTGCCTTGTGAATCTGTGCCAACTGAAGCCTGTGTTTGTGCATTTCTATGGCCCAGAGAAGGTCCAGCTGTGGTTTGTCCAACCCTGAGAAGGGCCCACAAGGGCTGCACTGAGTCTGTGACCATCTCAGCCCGAAATCCCCTTGTCCTCCTCCAATTCACACAGCTCTGAGGCAGCCCCAGTGTGCAGCTGCTGTGTTCCTGACTGTTTTGCCTCACAGAACTCCTTTCTGTGTGTGTTCCAGGTGCCAACCTGAAAGGAGTGGCCATGGAGGGCAGTCAGATGACAGGAATGAACCTCCGAGTTGCAATGCTGAGAAACACCAAACTAAAGAACTGTAACCTCAGGGGAGCAACGTTGGCAGGAACTGATTTGGAAGTGAATTGGGATTCATTTTCCATCCTATTCCTTTCTCTCCTATAGTCAGCTGGTAATTTGGGGGATTGCTGGCTTTTGACTGAGCTCTCCAGCTTCAGAGTACAATGGAGTTCAGGCAAATGGACTTCAAGTAAAGCTTTGAACAGAGTTCTGGGTGCATTCCATTGACACTTCTTTTTCTTTTCCCCTTCCCAATTGGGACCTATCAGGTTGTGACCTCCAGGAAGCCAATTTGAGGGGCTCTGATGTGAAAGGAGCCATCTTTGAAGAGATCCTGACCCCCCTGCACTTGTCCCAGAGCATCAGATAGGGAAGAGAAGACGTCAAAGAGGAAGGAATCCAAACATTTGTTGTGACTTTCTTCACCTCCTCCCCTTCCTGAGTTAGAAGGAATGCTTATTAGACAACTTCCATTTGCAGTAGTGCCTAAGTAGACTCTTTCTGATCACTTTTGGGGAGGGAATTTTTGTTTCAGAGGTGGAAAGAGAGAGTTTCTCCCTTTGTGAAGAGAGTGAGGAAGCGGGCTGGTTCTGAAACCAGAAAGTGGGGCTGGTTTGGGGGGGAGGGTTCAAGACTTTCATTGTTTAGCATTGCCTGACTTTGGAATGCATTTTAATTTCTAAAGCACAATATATGCAATTCTATTTATTAAGTCTGTAGCTGCAATACGAATAGAAAATGTTATTGCTGTATAGTAGCAAAGAAAGTTGAGGTTTCCAGGTAGACAAGTGTCTTTACAGTCAGTGTCTTCATTCCTGCAGGGTGTTAATGCCAGGGGTGGTCACACAGTGCCCCCAGGACGTGTTCAGGTCTCTGCTGGGGTGGAAAGAGTGGGGAACTGTCCTCAGAGGTCATCAATTGCTGTGGAGTAGTTGGAGTGCAGGTTTAGAGCAGTTTTATCCCCTCAAATGTGCAGAGGAAGCTGCTGCCCCTGCAGGGACCTGCCCAGAGCCCAGATTGAGTTCCCCCTGGAAGATCCCTGGGCAGAAATGGGATGTCTTAGTCAATGCTCTCCAAAGGAGTGTGAAATTGCACTCTCAATCCCAGCTGGGAAGAAAAATTCCCCTGCTTCCACATGTCCTGACCACTCCAGACTGGAGTTCCTGTAGCTTTTTCCTTCTTTGTTGGGAATTCAATGGACAGAGGAAAACACAGAACTGTCCCCAAAGCAGAGAGAAACTCTGGGGCCACAGCACCTGCTCCCCCCTCTTCACATCCCTGCAGTAGGTGAATAAATGGCCCTCAATGTTTCCCCTCAATGTACTCTGCAAATCCTCCTTGAAAGCATGGGCATAATCCCATTTGCAAGCCAGATCCACTTTGGGCTGCTTAAAGTGGCTGTAAAAGCATCTTGCCTGGGGCCAAGTGCCCCTTCCACACTTGCTTTAGCTGTGGAAAAAAGCAGGGAAAGCTGTTTTTTATGTGAACACCCTTCATGTCTCAGTGTTTTGATCTTGGGAATCCTCACGAACCTGGAACAATGCCAGATTATCTGCTGTTGTGAGATATGTAGGTGGAGATTGTTTTGATCTGTTTAAATCTCTGTTGCAAAAAACAACTGATAGAAAACAATGTTAAAAAAAATGAAAAAAAAAAGAGAAAAAGGCAATACCAAGAAAAAAAGGGAGGAAAAAGAGAAAAAAGAGAAAAAAAGAGAAACAACAGGAAAAATTAGACAAATAATAAAAAAGAAAGAAAAAAGAAAAAAGAGAATAAAGAAAAAGAGAAAGAAAAAAGGGAAAAAACGAAGCAGAAGGAAAAAAGGAGAGGAAGAAAGCAAGAGAAAAGAGAAGAAAAAAAGAAGACAGAAAAACAATAAAACCAAAAAAGTATTATCCTCACTCCGCTCACGTGCAAATGGCCGCTATGACCCACCGCAAGGACTACAACTCCCGTGATGCCTGGCGCGACGCGCAGGCGCGGGGTTGGGCGTTAGGACAGGGACCACGCGCTGATTGGCTGCGGCGGTGTTCTCTAAAGGCGGTGCGCGCGCAGAGCGGGAATCGGTGATGGCGGCGGGGCCTTTGTCTGTGAGACCTGGCGGGGGTGCGGGAGAGCGGGGTCTGGGGATCCCCTCGGGGGTGCGGGAGAGCGGGGTGTGGGGATCCCCTCGGGGGTGCGGGAGAGCGGGGTGTGGGGATCCCCTCGGGGGTGCGGGAGAGCGGGGTCTGGGGATCCCCTCGGGGGTGCGGGAGAGCGGGGTCTGGGGATCCCCTCGGGGGCTGCGGGGAGCGCGGCTGGGGGTGGAAGGGCTGGAGGGCTCGGGAGGGTTTGGCGGGGGGGGTTCGAGGGTTCCCGGGGGTCAGAGCGCAGGGCCTTGGAACCGTCTCGGGGGCCGCGGGGCCCGGGGGCCTCCCAAGAACCCGGGTGTTGGATTCGATTGCCGAGAAAGTCCCTCGGAAAAAAAATCAAAACCACCCAACGAAAAAAAGAACCCTAAAAAAAGGAGAAGTGAGAAAAAGTTGAACGAAAAACTGCAAGGGCCAGGATGATTTTATTGCTTTGCTTCAGTTTTTCCTTGGTCTCCTCCTTCTCAGATTTTCTACTCTCTTCCTTTACAGAAAGCTCTTCTGCTGTTGTGTGGTTTTGGGGTCCCTGGGGGGTCCCTGAGGAGGTTTTGGGGGGTCTCTGAAGGGGTTTAGTGTCCTGAGGGGACTTAAGGGGGGGGGAGTTGATGGTCCCTGAGGGAGTTTTGGAGTCTCTGAGGGAATTGGGAGGTCCTGGGGGGGCTTTGGGGGAGTATTTGAAGCAGTTTTGTGGGTTTCTAGTGGGATTTTGGGAGTCCCAGAGTATTTTGAGGGTCCCTGAGGGGGTTTCTGGGATCCCTGAAAGGACCTGGGGATCCCAGGTGGGTTTTGCAGGTCACTGAGAAGGTTTAGGGGGTCCTGGAGGTGGATGAGGTCTCTGAGGGGATTTGTGGGGTCCTTGAGGAGGTTTGGATGGGTCCAGAGGTGGATTTCTGAGGTAATTTTAGGGGTTTTGAGGGAATTTTATGGGTTCTCTGTGTCGGCGGACCGACCCCAGGGAAAGGGGATCCCAATGCCTGTCCTGAACCCCAGAGACCCCCAAAACTCAGCACACAGAGACCCCACAAGGAGGGGGTCCCAAGGGTCCCCTAAAGCCCAGCAGTGGGTTCAGGGGATCCCCCAGCCCTCAGGGGAGGGGTCCTGGGGGTGCCCCCCAAAGTGCGGGGAGATGTACCACATCTGGGTAAGGGGATCCCAGTGCCCCCAGTATATTCCAGTGACCCTCAGTACAGCCCAGAAACCCCCTCAGTGACCAGCCAGTGTGTCCCAGTGACCTCCCACTGCCCCCC